TCTCTTCACCATCCATCCTGATGCTGCCAATTGGTCCAGTGGTGAGAACCTTTGTCTTCTTGATGTTGAGCCTCAATCCATATGGAGAAAAGACTGTAACTGTCAACAACTTCATTGTACTTGAATTCACAATCAACATCCTTGATACCAGCAGTCAGGCGATCAGGAGACATATTGTACTTGAAAAGTCTGCAGTCAGGAACCTCTCCAAATTATTGAGAAACAACAATATCAGTTTGAGGACTAAGGCACATCTAATTCAGGCCTAATCTTTCCAATCACTTGCTATATGCATCTGAAACCTAAACAACAAATAAAGATGAAAGAAGAATTGATGCCTTTGAGCTGTGTGTAGGAGAGGAGTACTGAATATCCCATAGACTTCCAAAAGAATTAACAAATATTTTATGAAGAATGCACAGCCAGAGTGCTCTTTGGAGGCAAAGATGATAAAGCTCCACCTCAGATACGTTGGGCATGTTTCTAGGAGAGGTTATTCCCTGGAGAGGGAAATCATGCTTAAAAAGGTGGAGGGTTGACAAAAGAGAAGATCTTCAACCAGAGGGACTGTCACGATGACAGCTATAATGAGTGTGAGTGTGTCAGGACGTATAAGGATGGCACAGGATAGGACTGTGTTCAGATCCGCTGTTCACAGGGTCATTATGGGTTGTACTCTACTTGATGACACATAACAACTACATGCCCTCAAAGTGGCTCTTGAATGGCAGCATAATATTTTAAACAGAAATATTATAGCAATATCTTGCTCTGTATTGAAACTATACTAATAGTGTGCACAATGAAATTTATTATGACACAATATGCTTATATATAAATTATGAATTGTAAAAATTCCAAGGATAGAATGGATAATTAATAGAGGGAGATGAAGAAAGAGAAGGAATTGGAAAAAGTTTTCCAGATATTTCAGCACGTTTCAAGGATGACTAAGTCTATCAAGTGCGAAAGTGGTAGAAACAACAGTTGTTTAGTATTATGATGTTGTTGTTGTTGCTGTTACAATCAAGTACGACTCATGGCAATCCTATGAATAATAGATCTGAACCCTGTCCTATCCTGTGTCATCCTCACCATCTCCAAAACACCTGAGCCCATTGCTGCAGTCATCATGTCAATCTATCTTGTTGGGAATCTTCTTCTATTTAGTTGACTTTCTACTTTTGCCATCTTTACCTCTAAGGAGCACTCTGGCTGCACTTTTTCTAAGACATAGCTATCCATTCATTTGGTAATACATGGGATATTCAGTACTTTCTCCAACACAGCTTAAAGACAATTCTTCTGTCATCCTTTTCATCGCATAGCAAGTGATTGAATAGATCATGGCCTGAATCAGGTGCACCTTAGTCTTCACACTGGCATTACTGCTCTTTGTAATTTGGAGAGATCCCTGACAGAAGCCTTTCTCAAAGCAATGTTGTTGTTGTTATGTGCTATCAAGTCACCTGCAATCCATAGCAACCTCATGTCACTATGTATTGCCCAAAGCAATACATCTCCTTATCTCCTGACTACTGGTAGCAAGAATGTTGATTGAAGAACCAGGTAAGAGGAAATCAATGACAATTTCAATCCTATATCTATCAACATATTACCTATTGGCCCAGTGGTAAGACCCTTTGTTTTCTTGATGCTGAAATGTAATCGATGTTGTAGTTTTTGATCTTCTGCAGCAAGTGTTTCAAGTTTTCCTGCTGTCAAATCAAGTATGACCCATAGCAACCCTATGAAAAACAGATCTGAACCCTATCCTATCCTGTTCCAACCTCACACTTCTTGACATGTTAGAGCCAATTGTAGCAGTCATATGTTATTCCACCTGGTTGAGGGTCTTCTCCTTTGCTGACCCTTCTCTTGTCCAAGCATCTCGTCCCTCTCCAAGGAATAGCCCCTCTTAGCAATATGCCCAATGTATGTGAGGCAAAGCTTTATCATATTTGCCTCTGAAGAGCACTCTACCTGCACTCTCTCCAAGACATATTTGTTTATTCTTTAGGCAGCTCATGGATGTTCAGTGCTCTTCTCCAACACTACAGCTCAAGGGTGTCAATTCTTCTCCTGTCATCCTTTTCATTGTCCAGTTGTCAGATGCATAGCAAGTGATCAGAAAGACCATGACATGAATCAGACATACGTTAGTCCCCAAACTGACAGTACTACTCCTCAATAATTTGGAGAGGTCACTGCAGATTTTCCCAGTGTAGTACATCTCCTAATTTCCTGACTGCTGGTACTAAGGGATTTGATTGTGGATCCAAGTAAGATTATGGGTCTAAGTAAGTTGTTGACAGATTCAATTTTTTTCTCCATCTATCATGAAGTTGCCTAAGAATCTTTGTTTTCTTGACATGGAGAAGCAATCCATATTGAAAGCTGTATCCCTTGATCCTCTGCAACGAATGCTTCTTGACATGAGGGGGAGAATATGAGTATTGGAAGAGTTAACTTTCTAAAGTTTCTATAGGAAGGGAAAATGCATATGATAAGAACTTAATTCAAGCCAACTGATGATTGTTTTCATCTCCTATAAGGAAGAGGAAAGGTTCTAAAGGAAGTAGAGATGGACTAGAAGTTTTGAGGGGAGTATAAAAATTTGAGAGTAACTCCTGAGTGCTGATGGGAAAGATGGCAGACAGATGTGCATTGTGCAATTGGATTTTTCTGGAAGTGTTCAATCATCTGGACACAGGAGAATGGAGGGTTGCAAGTCTGCAGGGTGAGATGGATGTGACGGGCTGGAGAGTGAATAGATTTGGGATTCTAAGTGAAAAGAAAGTTAGATTAGTGAGATGACATGGTTAAAGAGTGTTTTCAGAACTTAAAAGAAGCAGAAATAATTATAGGTTTTAAAATCCTACTGCTTTATGTTATTTCTAAAATAATACTCTGTTCCTATCTGGTTTTAATAAAATAATAATTTAATAAAATTAATAATTGCTTTAAAACATAAAATTAAAGATTTAAAAATTCACTTGAAATTCCACTTCTGAATACATTAAGTATTCTGATGTTCCACTGTAGCATTAACTTTTTGTCCTTATCTTTTTAGCATTAAATTTTAGGAATACCTATTTTCTGCTATGAACATTGGTGTACAAATCTCTGGTATACAAAGTGAGGTTTGTACCTCAGTTCTCATTTTCTCAGGGTATATTCCAAGTAGTGGAATAGCTGGATCATATGGAATTTCTATGTTCAGCTTTTTGAGAAAACACCAAACTGCCTTGGAGAATGGTAGTACCATTTCTCAGTCCCACCAACAATGGTATAAGAGCATTATTCACTATCACAAGAACATGGAAATAGCCCAAATGTCCAACCACAAATGAATGTATTGAGAAATTATGGTACATTCACACAATAGAATACTATGCAGCATGCAGGAGCAATGATTTTGTAAATTACTACCTAACTTGGGAGGGACTGGAGTGTATTACGCTGAATGAACTAACTCAGTCCCACAAAGACAAATATTGTATGAAACCATTACTGAAGAAAGTGTATAAGGATCCAAAAGGGGTGGGCAGGGTGGAAGCAGAGGGATGAGGATGTGCAAGGGGGAGGAAGGATTAATAATGGAGTTGGATAATTTGATGGGTGAATGGGTGAGGGAAATTGGAAGAAATCTGTACTCGAAAACAATTTATTCAAACTTTAGAAATAAACTAGTATTAATTTTTTTAAAAAATACCTTTTAAGCAGTTCTTTTTCTCATCTGTTTCAATGCAGCGTACATTATTTATGTCCTTTTTTCTTAATAAAGGGAACTGGGGAGGGGGGAATTGTACAACAATAAAAGATTTTTTTTTTCCAAAGAGAAAAGTGAACTCGGTGGAGGGTTGGCAGGGAGGAAAATGTGCAACAATGAATGAATGAAAATCCAAGCTCTCTATAAACTTGCATTAAAATATCAATTAAAAAATTTTAAAAAAGAATATGTATTTTCAGTTACATGCAATATAGTATACTGTAGAATCGAAATAAAATTTTAGAATATTTAGTAAACTAGAGATTCTTAGCTCCTGATAAGATTATTATACTTTCAGAAGAATTACTCGGTATTCACTAAAGTATACTTAAAAAATAACAAACCCTGTGCTTGCTTCAGCAGCACAGATACTAAAATTGGAATGATACAGAGAAGATTAGCATGGCTCCTGCACGAGGACACGCAAATTCGTGAAGCATTCCATATTAAAGAAAAACCAAGACAAAACAACAAACCCAACCCCATTGTCTTTGAGTCAGTTCTAACTCATAGCAACCTTTCATTGTGTTTCCAAGGCTATAAATCATAATGGCAAAAGTCAGAGTCACTGGTGGATTTGAACTGCTGGAGACGGCTGGTCTTCGGGTTAGCAGTGCAATTCACTACAGACTACACCATATTTTTTTTTAATTGATTGGTTTAGAAAGTTTATATACATCATGTTTCACATTATTCTTAATTCACACTGTATTTCACACAATCATTCTCATCCATTATATTTTAAATCAATCAACATTGAATCTTGCCCATCATTACCCTGTCTTTTCGCCTAGATCCACTATATTTCATAAAATCAATCACCATTGGACTTTGCCCATCATTACCCTGTGTTTTTGCCAAGATCCTCCCCATTTGCTCCCCTGGCCCTCCACCCACCAGACTCTGTGTGCAGCCAATGAAATCACATTCTTTTAAAAGTTTATAAACCACTTTATTTTTGCTGGATAATTTATTAGTATTAAATTCTGATAGAAAATTTCTTCACTCAGAATGATAATTAGAAATGTACAGTACCTCTACATTCATATGAAAGCTTACCTGAACTTGGGAGATGTTTATACTCAGAACTATTGTAAAATGGCTTTTTAAATCCTTTTGCATCACTCCTAAGGTGCTTTGTTTTTATGACTTATGTGCATTATTGGGTTAGAAATGATACTGCTTAAATGGTTTGGCTTTTTAAATGGAGTATTAAACACATCCTTACTTTCCACTCAGTACAGCCACACCGACTGTGCTCCTGGGGGTGGACATGGTTGCCACAAAATTCCACTGGCGAGCCTGGGGGTCCCACCTCTCCACCGTATTCAGATAGCTCCAGCCATCATGCCCGCCTACTGCATACATGGGCCCTTCCAACACAGCCACACCTGCAATGGGAGGGAAAGGAGGAAAGGTTTACGTTTACTGCTAAGTCTTAACATTCTCCTTGTTGTGTGTTGACAAGTCACTAGTGTTTCATAGCTGACCTTCCAGTGAGTTTTCTAAGGCAGTAAATCACATGGGAGGAGACGGCCCATCTTTCTCCCCTCCCAGGTCTTAATGAGTACATTTTAATTGAAATATAAGTACAATGGACCATAAATATACAAATTAGGGGGTGTAGAAGTGTAAGAACACTTCTTCATTGTTCTTCCTTAATGGGTGGGTCATGGGGATAGCTGGGAGAAACAGCACTGCAGTTCTTGTCTTAAAAGGTTTCAAGGTACTATTTAGGCACTATTTACTCTAAAAAGAGTAAAACTCTGAAAAATTAGCTAAAGAGATATTTATTGAGAAACAAAAGAGACTCAAGCTGGGGAAGCAGCATGTCTTACAGGTAAGATTAGCTGTTCTGCTGAGGCTTGCAGTGAGGTTTTTAACAGCAAAATGCACAGGCAGCTGTGGTACAGGTAAAGCTGTCTTTGTGGCTAGGTCAGGAAGCTGAAG